CCGAAAGCATGCTATGCTCAATCTGGAGGCGGCATTGGATTTGATAACTTGCCACTTTGCTGTTGCAACACAAAGCTACCCAGTACCTAGGGCGCTTTTTGTTTGTTTGGCTGTCAAGGATATGATATGGCCATGAGTCAAAATCCGGGATTTTGACCGTACGGGACCCGTACTAAAATGGGTGGTGCACCTACCCCAAAATGGTACCCTTGGTTTTGTCCCACCGCCATATGCCCACCCTGGCACAAGAAGCCAGAATCGAGGCGTCGTTTTGAGCAAGTGGTCTGCTCAGGGTGGTGGTGGGCAACTCGCACACCTTGAAAGCCGACGAGCACTGGGAGAAGTGGCTCCAGTTTTACGAGAAAGTCGCTTCAGGCAATCGAACCGTTTTTCGCGGCTGAATTTCCATGCTCTCCCGCACCCGCCGTGCCCAAGTGCAGAGCACCTGCACGATTCACTTGATAAGGCTTTGCAAGCGGCTCGGCAGGCCGAGCCCGTTCGCCCAGCCCGAACAAGAAGAAGCAGGAGGCATGGGCAGCGGGGGTCGTGACGGGCTTTCATGCCGGGACGGCCTACAAGGCTTTGGTGCATTTTGCCAAGGGATGTTAGGACTCTTCTTCTGTGCCAATTCCGAATTAAACCGCTAAAAGTTCAGAACTCCCTGTTTCGGGTGGGTCCTAATGTTCTGAACTCTCGGCCTGCAATGTGAATAGCACTTGGGCAGAGCTGCACTCAATTCAGAGGCCAAACCGGCTTCTTGTTCGCCTGTCAATTGACAGGCCGGCAAGCTAACTGGGCAGCATAGAGGTCACTAACAGTTAGTCACTTTTAGCCGGGGAGCAGAAAGCAACTGAGAAGACCTGTGGCGGTTTCCGCTTCGTTGCTTGGGCTTTGGGTTGGGAATTCGGGGCCATCGGCGCAAGCGGTCGGCCAGATTCCCATCAATGAGACAGAAGAGGAGAAGGAGGCGCGGCTGAAAAAAGAGCGCAGCTCGGCGGAAATCACTGTGAGTGCGAGTTGAAACGGGTCAATCATGCTCTTTCTGTTTCATTTTTTTTAACCAAACGAGCGGGTCGAACCGGGTGGTCGCTCAATGCTCTCGTCGATTTAAATTTTCGGGCCAAATGGACACCCATGGCCGTTTGATTCAGGGCTTCCTTCCTTCTGGCCTTTTCGGGTCATTTTCAACAGGGCTCCTTAAAAGATACATTTTGCAACCACTTGAAACATGTTGCTTTTTCAACACCAAAACAAAGTTGGACACCACCATTTACAAGTTGCAATGTTCAGGTGTATGCATCCGGATCCGGATCCCCGGTTGGTTTGGCTGTGTTAGCTATGGATCCCCAAAGGATCCCTGGATTCAACTTGAGGCCCCACCCCAACAACACGACCCTCCCCCCCCCACACCCCACACCCCCTCCCGGCACGAGGAATCGAAGCCGCCCGAAAGCTCTCCATGGCCATCCGCTTTCCGGGGCTGGCCATGGCGCAGCAGAAGAAGAAGGACTGACGGTACCACGGCACGGCGTAGACACCAAAAGCCCCACAGAACTTGCGAATCAGGGAAGCCACAGCTGTTTTTTGTTGTTTTTTTGGTGGAAAGAGTGAAGAACCACACCCATATTTCTTGTCTGGTTACAAAAGACAAGGTCAGTCAGGAAGCTTTTACAGGGGGTTTTGGGTTGAAACATCATTGCCACGTAACTTGTGCGGAAGCCACAGCAGTTTGGGGATTGAAAGCCAACCCCAGGGAAACTGCAGTTGCTGCGACTCCGTTCCCTGAGCAAGAAATGGGCATAGGGCCCAAAGCACATGTAGACTCAGAGGAGAGGAGCCTTTGACATGTAGCTGAGGCGTGAGCCAAACCGGAAACCTACTGGGCAAAACGGTGCTGGTCCTGCACCAAAAGACTTGCTCCAACTAGATGGCACGCGCTTCCACAAGCAAGTTCAATGGAGAACAGCGAGAATTGGAACACGCAAGCCACGTCCTGGAGTTCAACACTTCTCATGGTTTCAGCGCTTGCACCAAATATAATGAGCATAGAAAGAACCCTCCTAGAATCAACCAACACACGGACAACAAGAAGCTCCAGCTGCGCTGCTTTTTCTGTTTACCGACATCGAACATGGCCGCAGCCAATGGACAGCACATTAGCATCTGCTTGGGCAGCGGATTCTATGGCAGCAATGGCCACCCAGCAACACCAAGTTCAGCTGACACATGGTGTGCTGAATGCATTCGCTGGTCGAAAGGCAGGTGACACACTCAATGATGACTGGACAAGGCAGCAGCGGACTTTTTTTTCCCGAAAGCATGGCGCCTGTTGGCACAGCTTGCCAGCAACTGGCGCATGCCTTCGTTTGTTTCAGCGGATTGGATTTGAGCTGGCCACCACCAATTTGGCGGAGACCCCATTCCAACTCGACCTCAATTTGGTAGAAGTAGCCCGACATGGTGGTGCATGAAGTAGCTAGCTTACAACACTCGTTGCAGCAACTTGTATGTAAAGCGCTCCCCACACCTGTCTCTTCACCAAGTTTGCAAGCTGAAGGGTCCAATTCGTTTTGACTAGGCATCCTATTGAAATATACAATTTGAAAAACAGTCGCTGGCAAACGACCACCAAGTTGAAGCCAGTGCGACCTACTGCATATTCAACCTACCGCTGATGTAAAAAGACTCCTCATTAACACTTGCGGTCTCAATTATGCAGAAAGCACGCCAGTTTGCCTCGCATCCAAGCAAACGCAAAGTCTAGCTGTCAGGAATGTTCTTTGGCACGAACCTGCGGATATCCAATGCCGCCGTTCTTAAATTTGTTGCAATCTTTGGCGACTCGCTGATAGAGGATTCGAGCGATGGCAGCTGCCAGCTGTCCCGCTCTGTGGGCCCTATATTTTGAGCTGATGTGTGAGGCGATTTGTGCGTGACAGCAATGCCGTTCTCAGAAGTCGGACCAAGCCTGGTTCGTTGGACCCAGCGGTTTCGCGCAGATTGGTCTTTGTCAAGGTCCAAGAGTTGACGTCCGTTCATAGCGCGCCGCAGAAGGTTACCCAGGGGATTTTCCCGGGGCAGCCAGTCAGCCCGAAGGAGGAGCGAGAGCGCTCACCCTCCTGGTCACCCGATGGTTCGGGCTTGGTGGGTCAAGCGGACACCAAGTTCAAGGCGAGCGGTGTAGGGAGAGGCTTGCAAGCTCGGGGACCTGCATCTCCATAAAGGACTCTTTCAAGGACCTAGGCAGACCTCATAGGTGATTCGCAGGTTGAGCCATCAACCCAAAAGCCGCCAATCCAGCTCACCCCCCCCATGAACCCCCCCCCACGGCGGTCGGCCCCTGCATGGCCTCCCCATGGCGCTCCCCCCCCCCCCATGGCCGCCCCCTTCCCCTGGCGGAGCCGCGGCGCTGATCCCTCAGGCCCAAGGCGGACGAACGCGCGCGCGAGTGAAGACGCCGTCGCCGGTTCGCCAGACCAAGGTGGTGAAGGCGAGAGAGTGGGGAGCGGGGAGTGGGGGAGCAGATGTCCAAAACCGGGTGGGGGGGGGGGACTTCAAGGGAACAGGATGGGGCCGGTGTCCACAAGTTGGACTCGCCTATGGTCCCATGGTTGTGTAAAGGGACCGGAAGCCCAGTTTCGCCTTTTTCCTGAAAGCGCCTAACTGCATCACACATTTGGATTCGCATGCCGAGCTGGATTTGACACATCATTCCCACGTGCCAATGTATTGGAAGCGCTGGGCGGGGGGGGTGCCTTTTGCGCTTCTCGTCGCATTCGGCTGCTTGGAGTCCAGCTTGTGACGGGCGGGTGCCGAAGCAGCGAAGCGTCGCAACTGCTCGCCCCAGGAGGTCGGCATCGGCCGACGAAACAAGGCCGGGACCGAGCGAAGCCAAGGGTGCCGTATGGGGAAGAAGCCGCCCGGGCTTTGAAGGCTCTGAGGAGGGAGCCACAACTGAGGCTATTGAACGAACAGTTGAGTTGGCCTGTGGCAACCGAGATGTGAAGATCTTCCAAACCATTACCTTCAAGCATGGGGACACACTATGCGCTTGCATATGGTTCTTGTACAATTGTGTTACTTTTTTACTACTGTTTTTCATGTTGCCTCGGCGGCGCAGTTTGTTTTTCAGCAGGGGCCCAAGCTAATTCCTCCCTCGTGTTCTCAAGGAGTGCAGGGTTCCCATCGGCTAGCTCTGCCTGAGGCCACCGAGTTCGCCGCTGGAAAGCCCAATGGCAATGCCAAAGCCAAGCCAAAGGCGGGGTAGCGAACCCTGAGCCCGTAATGACTTCCAGGGTTTCAAGCCAACAAATTGCACAGGAAGAGGCATGGGGAGGGATGATTGTTTGGTTTCTCCAGTTTCCAGACCGCCCTATTTCCAACATTCTCCTAGAGACATGCCCAGGGATAGATGCTTGGATTGCTGAGCGAACCGGGGTGAAGCAGGGCATGCTGAGGAGTTTTTCCCTTCTTTTCAAGCCCACAGAACAAAAAAGCAGGACTGACGGTAACTCCAGCTTGATCCGCGCCAAACTCTGCCCAGGCCAAAGCCAAAGTTGCCATCGCCTCTGACTCGGAGGGCTCCAATTGAACAGCCTCGGCCACCGCCTGAATGTTGGATCAGCGATGGGAAAAAAGGAGCTGTATGCGAGCTGCAAGGCAAGCATCAAGTGCATGGACATGCCATTGGTGTGTTTGTGTTTCTGTGTCTGTGTTTCTGTGTGTGTGTGTGCGCGTGTGCGTGGGATGCTTCTGTTCTCTGGCCGGCGAAGGGATCAAAACGGCTGTGTAGTATATTGCCCGGAGAGCGTGGCCCCATGGTTTTGAGAGCGAAGAAGCTCGCCTGAGCGGCTTGTTCGTCAACTTGAGGTGGTTTCAGGCACAGTGCACGCCCCAACGTGCCAGCGTGTGGGCAGACGTAATTTCATGTGTCTCAGCCAAATCTGGGGCCGCTAAAGCCCGCAGCGGGAGCTTCAGAACGAAGTTGGGCGGCCACTCAGGCAGCCCGAGCCCAGAACGGCGCAGGCGGGGCGTTTGATCGACTCAGTGTGGAGTCCATGGGTTGTCTAGCTCAATAGACCTAAGGCCCAGTTAGGGCTGGTTTTCCCAGGCCCCCACATGTGGCGAATCAGGGCAAGCGCTTGTTTTGCTCGCGATCAGCATTCTCTGGTTTCAGGGGGCTCATTTGTTTACACTGCCAAAAGCTGATGGCCCATTCCAAACCGGCACGACTCGATGAGTTTGGGGGTGTTCTGAGCCCGTTTTGGCCCTCAAGCTTCGCTCGGTGATGTCTTAATCTTGTTGGGTCTCCAAGTTTTGTGAGGCCAACTCCCCCACGAAATGCACTTCGGTGGTTGTTGCGCGAAAGTCAAGGGCCCGAGTGTCAGCTCCATGGGTTCTTTGCCGAATCCGAGGCGTCCAACCAGGAGACTGAGGTTCCAAGGCGGGATCGTATGTTGACTTCGGATTAATAAGCCCCCGTAGTGTGGATGTGTGTGTGGATGGACGAAAAATCCATTTCGCACTACCTTGAAACCGTGGTTGAAACCAGTGTTTCTTGGCATTTCCAGGGGAATCGAATCATTCCATGGGTTCTTAAGTGGTGGAATTCGGACTTCGTCCATCGACAGTTATTATTGGGGTGGTGTTTTTTCGGTTTGTGATGAGACCCCCGCTGGTCTAGAGAGAGGGGGTACTTTCTGTTTAATTACCAACCGGGGTTTGGGAATCCGAGGTTCCCATTACCCATTTTTCCTCCTCTTCTCACTTCCTGAGTTCATGAACTTTAGATTTTTTGGGAAGACCATTCTAGTGGAAAACGTAGAGTTTGGACTTTTTTCGGGCCATCCACTCAGCCGGTGAGTCTTTGCTCCAGTGGATATCGGCCAACAGCCATTCGCTTCGTTTCATGGAAGCCAGGGAGAGTGACATGTCGACCAATAATGTTGGCTTCCTGTTAGTTGGCTCCGCCTTGAATATTTTCCCATGCCGTATCGTAGGCTGAACGTTGAGCAGGGAAGCCACGACCGGGGGAAGGGACTGATCGGAACATTTGCATGCTGACCGCAGACGTCCGTTTCATGCCTTACAAGATTTAACTCATCCTTGCCTTTTTGCTGGCGGAAGAACATACGCAGGTTTGAAGTTGCACTGGCCGACTTGCTTTTGCAAAATCAGGGAGACCCAGAATTGGGTCCCCCAAATCAAAGCGCGAGAGCTTGCGCTAGGCAGCGGCTGTCCAACTCGCGCGCCGGCCTAAGGGACGAGCCCAGAAGCATGCGACGTCGAGCTCGCCAGGGCGAAATTACACGCCTGGGCCTGTGAATCAGCTCCTTAGAGCGCCAAAAAAGAGAAGCACTGGGTTATGTTTTTTCTGGGGGGGGTAGCCCTTGCAGAAGAGCGATTTTCCGTGGCATTCTTTATTCGGTAAAGCTGAGGTTGCAGCCCAAGATCTCTTTGCAACTTAGGGGTTTCAACTGTGACATAAATCCTTGGGAAGCTGGGACCCACATTTCTCATTGGACCCACCCAAAATCGCTGGTGATTCCCCTATTCGCCTTTTCGCGTGCCACAGGCTCGGCCTCCAAAGAGCCTGAGCTGCGAGGAGCTCAGAAAGGGGGCGGCAAGGTGAAATCAATTGCGGGGTGTATATGTTTCGAAAGTCTGGTGGTTTGCTTCGTTGGCCTATCGTGCTGGTTTGGACTGGTTTGGGAGAAATGTTGGGCATGTTTTTTTGCGTGGTTTCGTGGTTTGGTTTGGTGGTTTGGACCTTCAGCAGCTCTCCCATTGAGCTTCCTGAGCCAATCCAACCGCTTAAGGGTTACCAGATTTGCATGAGGCTAAGAAGGCAACCAAGAGGATCACCACCAAACCTTCCCCGGAATTAGCTCCCCTTTTTGCTTTTTTGCTTTTTTGGGGTTCCCTTTGTTTTCCACAAACCAGGCAAACAAGTTTTTTTTTTGCTGGGGTCCTAATTCCTGCCTAGAAAGTTCAATCCATTAAGAGGGTCCCATCTTCACATGTGAGCACAACGGGCCAGTTGGCGAGTGTGACATGAAAGGGAACCGCAGAGGTCCCATTTCAAACAAAGCACTTCGCCCTTTCGAAGGGAACATGGCCCTGTCTATTTAAGGGCATCCATGATTTTTCACGGGAAACCACTTTCTTTTGAAGACAGCTGAAGCTGATGCAACAGGGATGGTTCAGATGTTTGGCTGAACCTCGGCCGGGGAAGCTTGCTTTTCACAATCAAGTAACAAGCACTTGTGACCTGCGTCAGGTTCTCAGCATGTGTGGGTCGAGAGTGCTGTGGTTGGGGAGCCCTTGGTCGCGGGGAGGGGCAATTTACTTCCATGTAAGGTGTTTGCTGGAGACACCTTGCCATCATGTAAGGTAGCCCAGGGTTGCAGGGGTTGAGGGTGCGCTGCTCGCTCCCCTTTTACAGTCAAGAGTAAGTCATTGGGCGGGCAAGTCCTTGCTGCAGCTGCGTTGTGCTGACTGCGTTGGTTTGATGTTTGAATGAACGCCGCAAGCGATTGCCGTGCACAGCCCCTCTGCCGCAGAAATCATCACATGGCTGTGTGTCAAAAATAGGTACCCAAAATGGAACCCGGGTAAATGGAACCAAAGACTACAACCTGCGGTCGCCTGCTGGGTTAATTTTGACCCATACCCACATGTGTCGCATAGCGTTGTAGGTTGCCAGGGAAAGTGGCTTGGTGTCCGCAGCTTTTGGGCAGGCCCCGGCTTCGGGGGGGGGGGGGTGCCTCAGGCTTCTGACCTTGGGCTACAAGCCCGAAGCTCGGAGCTCGTCAAAGCGTCCGGGGCCCCAAGTCGCCAAATGCCAGCAGTCGGAAGTCGGAAGTCGGCTGGCCTGTCGCAAAGTACAGGGACCCGACCACCTCAAGAGGTCCCAATTGTTTTGCGAAGCACCGGTTGGTGGACCTGGAGTTTTGAGAGACTTGGGGCGATAGATTTGGCGCATGCTCCAGCACCCCATGTGGGATGAATTGAACCATTGTGCGTTGGTCCGGCCCGGGTGTTCTGACCAACGTTGCGTGGTTCACGGGCACCTTTGAGTTGTCAACCGTTGTGCCGCTCTGCTTGTTGGGGTTGTGTGGAGTGCCACATGTGGCTACCTGATTTCGCAGGCCTCGCAGGCCCTATACGAGGGCCCCAGCATTGGGAAACCTGTTCCGGTAGCACCTGTCCACTTGGTGCTGCCGGCTGCAAAGCCATGGTGCTTTCATTTCTGGAATCAAGGCAGGATTTTCAGGTTCTTCAAGTAGATTACTATACAGGCGGACATTTGAGGGGGCCAGGGGGCAGATGCCATTGCTTGTGCCCAGGTAGATGTTTGGCGCAGAAGCCGTCAAACCCCCCAACTCCCCTTTTTCTAGCAGCGCGGTGGGCTAAGTGGGTGCTTCCATAAACAACCCTCACCCCACCCCGCCTTGTTCGAAGGAAACACTTTTTCTTCAGATGTGTTGCCATTTTTAAGGATGCTCTTGACGAAGCCAGCTACGGGAGAACTCTAAGACTGCCAACCAGCTTGCTCCATCTCGCGCCCGGCTCATCTCAGCTGGGTAGAGCCATGCTGACCAGACTTCTGTCCAGGGTGTTGGGGGTGAATCGCTTCGCCCGGCTCCTTTGGCAGCAGTTGAGGGCGCTGGTTGAGGGCCGGGACTGTCCCAGTTTCATCTTGAGAAACGGCTTGGATGACAGGTGGGCTTCAACCAGAAGCTTGTTTGAAGGAGATGCATGCGGATTTGGTCTGAATGGCTTCAGAAGGTCCACAAGAAGGATCATATGCAAAGCCCCACAGGCCAAGCCGGCAATTCCATGTTACAAAATAGCTCGGCTGCTTCGAATCGGTCTGCAATAGGCCCAGACACTCGGCCTTGTTGCATGCTTGGCAGTTGTTTGTCCCATTGTTTTGTGTGGTAGGCCGCATATCTCAGCTTCTGCCAGCAGCCCGGTCCGTTTTTCAACCGACTTCAGGTTGCGTAGGCGGATGGTGAAGCGGCGAGATGAAGAAGAGATGGACATTTTGCCCAAGGTGATGGGGAAGGAGGAGGAGGCTGATCCGGAAACCGGAAACCGTGGTGCAACGCGTTGCAACGCCGGCATTTAGGTTGACGTTGGCTGATTTATTGAGCAACGCCGGCATTTAGGTTGACGTTGGCTGAATTGTATTGATTTGAAGTTGGGAAAATTGGACCAAGAGGGAAGCAGCGAAGGGAGAATGCCTAGCTCTGCGCCTGGTTTTGCGGTTCAGGGCCTTGAAGCAGGTGCTTCGACAACCAGACCGCTGGCCCCCTGAAGAGAACCAAAAAGGAGTTTGCTTCGTACAGGCTATACAGTACAGTATAGGTGTTCTCACTTCCTGAGCTCCTGGACTCTAAACTTTTGGGGGAAGACCATTTTGGTGGCAAACAAAAGTTCGTACTTCTCTTGGCCCATGCACTCAGCATGGTTGGGACACGTTGTTCATGTTTGCTTATTGTGGCTTGGACATCCAACCACTGAACTGCTATTTGAATTGTTGCTCCCCTTCCAACGTCAACCAAGTCTGGGTGAATTATAACTGAAGAATTTGATCGGTCAGTATGGGGTTTTACATCCATTGCATCCGCAGTGTGGCTGTTCAAGCGTGAAAATGTGCGAGCAGCGCACTTGGACGGTTTGTTGTTTCCTTTTGGGCCCCAAACCGGTAACCCTTGATTCTATAGGTTATCAGCCGTAGGCCCCTAGCTCTAAGCAATGGACGGTTCCCTTGTGCCAGTTGATGGATCCAGCATGCCTGTGGATGCTGCCGGAGCTAGCTCCGGCAACGCCACCGGCGGCGGTGTGCGAATGTTCGCATCAAGCGCTAATGCGCAATACAACCGCACCCTGATGAATTCCCTTCAACTGTACAATACCGCAATCTTTGCTTTTGGGAATGATGCAGCCATTAGGTCTGAAGCCGAAGCCCTGCATCAAGCAGCTGTTACGCATTTGCAAGCGGAAAACCGTGAGGAGCTCCGTGCCGCACAGAATCAGCTGCATGCACACTACGCTGAATGTGTGCAAGCCCAGTCGCATAGGATTCGTGAATACGAACAGCGAGTGAGCGATGAGTTCGTTCAAGAAGTGAACGAACTATGGAGTTTCTTGACTAAGTACAAGATGAACAAGTACGAATTCCATGGTTGCAAAATCGGCATTAAAGGGAGAAATGGAAAACCTATGAAAAAGCAATGGGTCGTTGCCAGTAATATGCCCACTATTTCCATTGTTGAGTACTTCAAGTGTGATGGTTCTCACGAGCATGACGAAAGCCGTGGCACGTATTTGAAGGAAGCTGAGGGATACACGTACGTTTACACTGATGCCGTTCACAATGCATTTTCCGAACATGCCACCATGCAGCCGTTGCTTTCGAGTGATTGTGCTGCATCCTTTTCGCAATGAGCAGCGCGACGGCTATGGCGCATCCCGCGAGGGATTGCGATCCGGCATGGAGGAGGTGGATGGAGAATGTCGCTACCACATCGGTATGCACGAACGGCAAATACGACGCTAACCTCGCCGCCACGGTCAAGGGCCTCCTCGAGACGACCTCTGCACAGTCGCTTATTCATACATGGGTGCAGGACCAACCGCACTACCTGCAATTGCTTACACCCCTGTTAACTATAAGCGAACCGTACTTGAAGGTTTTGCCGGCCCCACGTGTACCAGATCGCGACCTCCTTATCTATGTGACCGTCGCTGATTCAGGACTGTCCATGGTTTCGGGCAAGAAGCGCAAGCTTCGCAAGTATGACTTTGCGGAGCGTTTGGATGCCTCTTGCCCGGCGCGTGTCGGTGCATGGAGGTCAGAAATGCTCTGGGGCAAGGGCTTACAGCAGCTGTGCAAGCGGTTGGCCGCCCTCATCGACGAGGTGCGTACCGACCACCCAGCTGCCACCATCATTCCGATGATTTACTGGAATGGCAACGAGCTCGTCGGGAAGGACGGCCTCGAGCCCACGGGTACATATCCTTATGATACCCCCACTGGCGACGCCGAACAACTTCTTGCTGACTCCAAACGGCACCTGGCTTGGACCAGGGACTTCGCGGCCCGCAAGGGCTGCGCATGCCTTGGAGTCATGACCGGCGCGAAAAGCTATCTCTACGGCTTCTCTATGATTTGGGACCGTTTCATGACGGAAGTCCGGGATTACATCATCGGCGACCCCAATCATATGTTTGTGTACGTAGATGCTACACCCTTTGTCGAGACCATCGATTTGCTGGACAGGTATCATATGTGCTTCAGTGATGACAACATCACGAAGACCGTCCAGTTCATGCGCGGAACCCACCACATGTTGTATATGCTTTCCATCTTGCGCCCCGCAATGGGCAGCGTAGCCGAGCTGACACGTTCGCATGATTGCACCATGCGTCCGATCGATGTGCTCGAGGTGCGCCACCAAGAGGATTGCACAGTCAACGTTGAGGTTCTCGCGTACTGCAAGGAAACGCTAACGAAGTGCGGTGTTTCCTTGTCAGAGATGATTGGGCTCCCTTTCACCCGTGAAGAAGTGGAGGTCCGGCAGCCCCTCGATTTCGCCCCCGTCAACCCAGCCGAGTTTGCAACTTCAGGTGAGCCTTCCGGTGCAGATGTTTCCGAGAGTGTTCGCCCGGCGCAAGCCGGTGCAAAGGCGGCTGCGGTGGCACAGAGGGACGAGGCGGCAAGCAGACCGGTACCACTCGACTCCTACGGGAGGAACGTGACTGGAGGCCACTACGACTGCTGGGTGTATAGTATCCATGATGGCGTGAAGTATGTCGACTACGGTGAGGGCCCCAAGAGACTCGACATCATCAAGCAGCCCTCTTTCGATTACGACCCTTCTGTCAGGAGAATCAGCAATGAATACCACAGTTCCCTGACGTGCATCTCCAAGATCCTCCGTGGTCGTGGAACGGAAGGATGCGGGTACGTGATGGATGAGGACGGCTACATGGACCTCGAAGACCTGGGACTCGCGCTTCGCAAGGAGCTGCGACATCCCATTCCATGGAATATTCAGAATATCATGGACATCTTCAAGCTGGACAAAAAGCAGCGGTTCATTGCGCTTGGTTGCCCGGACGCAGGCCGGTGCGGAGACGTCCCATGTTCGCATTGGCTTTTCAAGATAAAGGCCTCTCAAGGACATGAGGACTGGCTCCAAATCGACGACTCCGGCATCGCGAAGGAGTGGTACGTGAACCCGGGGACCGACCTCGGGCGCTGGTCTGGCTGGAACGTCTGCAGCAACCCTCCTACGGTGCTCTATCATCGCACCGATAAGCGGAACTTTGCCAGCATAATGCGAAACGGACTGCTTCCAGGAGGAGGGGACCAGCACGAGACAGGCAGACCTCACGTTTTCTTCGCTGACATTCCGAGCACGAATGAAAATTACATCTCAGGTGTACGTGCTAACAAGCCCTTGGAGATACAGATCGACCTCAGGATGGCCATTCGCGCAGGGCTTTGCTTTTTCAGGACGGAGAGCGATGGCGTCCTTACGCGCGACAAGGTGCCCAACTACACGATTATTTCTGTATTGGACGCTACAAATGGCGATGTATGGTACACTCGCTCCGAGCAATCGGATGCAGGTGCACCAGCTGAGGCGAATGAGGATGAATCGCAGGGGATGAAGCGCGACCAAGCAGTGGTTGACGATCGATCTACAGCGCTGGAACGTATTGCTACAACCCGCACCAATGTGGCGTCTCCTCGCGCCCCGCAAGGGGAAGCGAAGAGACAGAAGACTTTCAACCCAATGGAG